AAGAGTGTAAAACTGATAGAGGTCAGAATTTACAGCTAAGGACTGAAAGAATACATAGGGCAACCAGGTGCTCCAGAGGCAGAACTGACGACCTTTGCTATCTGCGTTCCCAAGTTAGTGTTGGCGTCTGCCCCAGGGCTTGGGTCTGGCTGAATCATGATCAGAGGGCTGCTGGTGAGGAAGAGAAAGAGGACCAGAAAGAGAAAGCCCTCCATCTTGCCAGGACCGGGGAATAGGAAAGAATGAGACAAAGGGATAGAGTAGAAATGGACACAGGCAGCCTGAGCCTAAGTTGCCCAAGCAACTTGTCCCGCCCAGATGAACTGGACATCTTTATTTATAGTACAAGGAGACATTACACATGTATGTTTCATGACACTTCATGGATTAGTTGCCAGGTTACAGACAATAAGAAGCAGTTAACAAATCTATAAGGGATTAGTCATACCCAGGGCAAGGTGTATCCCTTGGTGGTAATCCCATCTAGAGTAAATCTCATCTTCCTTTCTAATGCAGAGAACTAGCTGTTAGGTGTGGGGAAGGAGCTAAAGAACTTCTCCATAAGGAGTGCACCACCACACCCAGAGAAGTCTAAAGAACCTTTCAGATGCAGGGCAGGGATTGGACTTTACTAATTGGGGTCAAGATGTTTCTTGAAGTCCATCAGATGTGTCTGTTGGAACGCCCCTAGTAATTTCCACCCTTGCTCTGTCTGCAGCCAAGGTCAGGGAAAGACAAGTTACAAGGTTCTGCCAAACCCCAAAAGAGCATGTGGTGTTTGCTCAGCACATGTCCCCACACCTCAGACTCTCTCTCTTAAACGTGTCCCCACAAGTTAGAAGGGAGTACAATTTTTCTAGAAGGCAGCCCTATGGTAAATAGCACACTACTGGATCTGATGGGATGACACCTTGCACAGGGGAACCAGGAGTGGCCTTGTCCTGTAGTAATTCATCAAAATACAAATGCTTTATTTATAAAATTTTTATCCTTTTGAAAGGTTATGAACCCGTAAGTGAATCAGATGACAATTATGGCCAGGGCCAGCAGGTGACATGGTGATTAAGGTGACTAGATTCCACATGGTTGACTCTGTAGTTCAGCCTGGAAGCTTGAAAAACATGCCGGGTGTATGTGTGTGCCCAAAATTTCAAGAGGAGAATGGAAAAGAGATTGCTGTCTACTCCCTCCCTGCTGAGTTTTTTGTTTGTTTGTTTGTTTTCTCATTTTCTCTTTCTCTGTCTCTCTCTGGCAAACACATGTGCCCTATGGCACAAATCTAAAAAGAAAGAAAAAGAAAAAGAAGATTATAGCCTATTTCTTCAGAATAAGGTCCACGGATACAAAAATGTTCCATCTAATTTCAAGAAATTCACAGATTCTGTGATGCCTTTCCTTGGGTGCTGAGTTAAAAACTCCTGCTTGTTCAAGTGATTTGTTTAGGAGGTAATTTCAGAAAGCTCTCTTAGGGAAGTAAGACAGGAGGAAGGAAGTGAATAAAGAGTGCATTATCAAGCAAATTACTATTGTGGGCTCCTGGAGCTTAATCCTTCTAGAAAACTCAGGAAGCCAGTGTACAAAACAGACCTCAAAGCTCTCCTGTCTAAGCAGTGAGGGAGCTGGGGTAGTTATACCCAAACACTCATCAGTTATGACTGGAGAGCTGCTGGATGGAGTGAGAGAGCAACAATTCCCTGGAATTTCTGATGTTTCCCAAACAAGGGCAGAGCAGGCTCTAACAGAGCCCCTTGGCAAAAGGTTGGAGGTATTAGCAGTTGGACCTCTAGGGACTTTGTAAGTTACAAAGAATCTTTAAAAATGCTCATGGACTGGGACCAGCAGGTGGCAAGGTGGTTAAGGTGTTGGAATTCCCACATGGCTGACTACTGTTAAAGTCCTGGACCTGACGGCTTGCTTTCTAACTCTTCTTTTCTTACTTTCTCTGTCTTTCTCTGGCATAACTCATGTGAATAATAATAATTAATAATTAAATAAATAATAATTCTTTTTAAAAATGCTTATGGACAATGAGTATTACGAAAAAACTATGCATGGATTTTCATGGGGGTTTTTTTGCACCAAAATGAACTTGTACTGTAATTCCATTTTTCCTCAAACTTAAGTCTTCTCAAATACGTCGGCAGCAGTATAGAAAGGTCATGTAGAGCTTCAGTGACATGTTTCTGAATTGTTTTGAGAGGATCTGGAGGTTCCGAGTTTTCAGACATAAAGTAGTCAAACATGACACAGCAAATCTTGCCTGTGTGCAGCTCAGTAACCAGAGTACAGTCTAGTGGCTGGACAAGCAAAGGATTTAGCATCGCTTAGGTGAGTTGTACAACATCCTCTGAATTACTACATGATCTTTCTTTACAAATTGAGATTTGAAGATATTTTAAGGATACGTTTCTGTTTAAATGGTCACTACAATTTCTTTTTCTAATAATTTTGAGAGCTCTTATTTTGTGTACATTGGGGTTTTGGAATTATAGTTCTGTGCATCTTCAAGCAGACCACAATGACCTTTGCATCTTCCTGGATTTTTAACATTTATTTAGGTTTTCTTTGTGTTTTGTTTTGTTTTGGTTTGCTCTAGAGTACATAGGCTTGCCAGAGAGAAAGAGAGAAAGTGACAAATCACCCCCCTCCAAGGGGGGATGGCCATGCCTCAATCCCTTCTCCTCCATTCTCCTCTTGAGACTTTGGGCATGCACACACACGTGCCCAGTATGTTTTTCAAGTCACTAGGTCCAGAACTTGAACCATGCAGTGGGCCATGAGGGATCTTGTCACCTTAACCACAACACCACCAGCTGACCCAAGATTTTCTTTATCGTTTTAGAAAAGTGGCATATCTCTTAAGCTCTGGATCATGAAGTCTGGGTTTTAGCTCAAGAGCCATCTCTCTTTGTTGCTTCTGTCCTAGTAGGCAATGTTTGAACTGTCATTGGCTTGCATCCCTTTCCCTTTTGTAACTCCCTTGTTTGATCTTACAAGTCACTATTCATTCAGAGCAACAAATTATTCCAGATGTAGAATAAGACAGTGCTTTATAATTTCTGCTTGCTAACATTAGAAGGATGGGTAAGCTTAAAAATATTTAAGACAAATAATACTTTTGAGTTAATTGTATAGTTTAATCATTTTTCTACACAAATGCTCACCTGCTTTCCTTTCCGTCTCTTGCTCTTTTGCACCCTTGTGATATTAATTAACCTCGGCCCAAGGATTAAGCCGTTTATGATCCTTTTTGCCCCATGACTTGGATGGTCTGCCTGGACTGTGTTTGTGTCAGCATGAGAGCGGATATGATGGGAAACACAGTTTACAATGATGTCACTAGCATCGTTATTAATGTCCTTCTTTTGGAACCACATGGATCTTCTTGTCTTGAGATCTTCTCTCTCTACAGGCTCAGCAGTGGCTTTCTAAATGTGCTGGAAGTCCTGAAACATGAAGTGAAGATCGGACTGGGCACAGGTGAGTAGTTCATCATTTGGAACTATGGCAAAGTGGCTACTAGCACATAACTTCCTAATGAGACTAATTTTCAGGTGATAGTTTTAGGTTTAAAAATTATTTTTGATTGGATAGTGATATCTTGATAATATCTAACAAATAGTGAGAATGAAAGCAGTAAGAAAATAGATGTAGGAGCCAGGCAGTGGCACAGTGGTAATGCAACTTGACCCATACAGGAAGGTCCTGGGTTCAGGTCCCAGGACCTCCCTGTGCACATGTGTGCCAATGATCCAGGTTGACTGAGACTGGGTGTGGATCTCAGTGTGAAAACCCTTTTGGAAGGTTTTGGTCTGTCTGTTGCTTTCTCTCTCTGTCTCCATATATCTCATGGAAGAAATAAATAAATAAACTTAAAAGAAAAGAAAGAAAATGTATGCAAAAGGAAGTATTCATGACACTAACCTCTTGAAAACCATTAGCCCAACTTACTATTCAAAGATTCGATTATAAACAGTAATTCTAAAGTGTTTTAGAAGTTCTTTTTGAAAGTCTTTGATTTTTTTCCCCTTTTGCCCTTTTGCTAGGCCAAAGGGCATTCGAGGTAGCTGAGAGTTAGTGATAAATTAATGATGCCTTCTTTCTTTATAGTATTTTTTTTGAGAGAGAGATAGAGAGAGAGATTTTTGCTGTAGGGTATATATGCTCACCAGACAGACAGAGAGACAGAAAATGAGAAATCTCCCCCCCCTCAGGGGGATGGCCATGCAACAATCCCCTCTCCTCCTCTCGGGATTTTGGCCACGCACGTACATGAGCCCAGTTCACGGTACATTTTACCTGGTTTTCCTGAGTGTGTGCAGTGCCGCTTACTTTGAGATTGAGTCAGACCCAACTGTCTAGGCATCCATTGTAAGACTTCTTTTATTATTATGCGTAACTGATTTAAAAAATATCTTTTTAGAAAAAGAGTTTGGGGGGATTGGGACCAGTAATGGTTATGTCATAATTGTTACATCACTGGATTCCCATGTAATCAACTGTGATTGAAGTCCAGAACCTGGTGACTTAAAACTTATGCCGGGCACATGTGCATATGTGTCCAAGATCCCGAGAAGAGAATGGAGGAGAAAGGATTGCTGCCATCCCCCTGGGTGGTGATATCTCACATTCTGTTTCTCTGTCTCTTTCTACCTCTTTGGCGAGTGCCTGCACCCTATAGCAAAAATCTCTCTAAAAAAAAAAAAAAAAAAAAGGAAAAGGGTATGGGGTGCACCATCAGCTGATGTGGATGGTAAGGTGGCTGGATCCCACATGGCTGACTGAGTGTGGATGGTAAGATGGCTGGATCCCACATGGCTGACTCTACAGTTCAAGTCCTGGACTTGAAAACTATGCGAGGCCCATGTGTGTGCATGCTCATAATCCAAAGAGGAGAATAGAGAAGAGATTGTAGCCTGCCATTCCCTCTGGGAGTGATTTCTCATTTTCTTCTTTTCTCTCTCTCTCTCTCACTCTCACTTTCTGCCTCTCACTGGTAAGTGCACATAGCCTACAGGAAAATTTAAAAAAAAAAGTGTGGAGGTAAAAAGACTAACTTTCTGCTCTTGATGCATCTGTCTTCCTGATATTTCTTTCTTTCTTTCTTTTTTTTGGGGGGGAGAGGTTTTTGCTGTAGGCCATGTGCGTTCACCAGAAATTCTCCTTCATTCTCCTCTTGGGATCTTGGGCACGCACGCATATGTGCCCAGTGTGAGTTTAAGCCACTGGGTATGGTACTCAAACTGCAGTCGACTACATGGGAATTCAGTGACATAGTCATTACACCAATTGCTGGTTCCGTCTTCCTGATATTTCAAAGCATCAACTGCATGCATGTTGACTGATGATTTTTCATCATTGTCTGCCTTAATTTAGTTCTCTTGTAATACTGAGACTGCTCTTTTTAATTGCCAGAGGCATTTGCACTTGCCAAAAAAAAGAAATGGAGAAAGAGAGGAGAGGAAGAATGCCCCCCCCCCCATGGGGCATGTCATGCTGCAATTCCTTTTCTTCCATTTGTCCATCCTGTAGAGATTTGGGGCATAGATGTGGCAGGAATTTCACTGTATAATCAGCCAGGTGGGATCCAGCTCCCTTAATCATTAGGCCACGGAGCTGGCCCCACAACGATACATTTTATATGAAGTAATTGATTATTAAAACACATAATAACATACATAACAACTTAATTTTTAGAAAGAGGTATGTCAGATTAGATTTTTCCCAATTTTACATGAATCAAATTAGGATTTTAAGAATTCTAACTTAAGTCTTGAATCATTAAGATTGTGATAACGTCAGACATAGTCACAGAAGGCATGAAACCAGAAAAGCTTTAATGGATTGGGAAAACATGGTCAAGAGTTTTTATTTGTTTGTTTGTTTGTTTGTTTTAGAGAGTTTTGTTATAGGACCCATGCACTGGCTGGAGAGACAAAGAGAGCTAGACAGACAGAACACATGAAATCACCCCTCAGGAGGGATGGCCAAGTTGCAATCCCTTCTCTATTCTCCTCTCAGGACTTTGGGCACGCACACACGTGTGCCTGGTGTGTTTTAAGCCGTTGTGTTCAGACTCGAATTGTAGTCAACTGTGTGAGAATCCAGTAATGTAACCATTACCTGTGTTCAGACTCGAATTGTGTGAGAATCCAGTAATGTAACCATTACGCCACCTGCTGGTCCTGGCCAAGAGTTTTTGCTACACATTGTAGTGAGGTCTTATGAAAAATTTAGTGGACACAAAAACTGGGAAGGTGTGTTTTTCAGATTTTCTAGGATTTTGGTCCTCATGATTTAAATTTATCACATGACTTCCAGTTCTTGAGTTTGGGCTGTGTAACAATGGCCTAAAAAGCTTAGGCAAAGCTCTAGTTGTCACTTATTAACTGTAAGACCTTGAGCAAATTAATTTTCAAAGGATTAATTTTTAAATTTTTTCAACAATAGCAGCAATAAGTCAACTACTATCTTATGAGATAGTTTTGCGAATTAAATAAAAAAATAAAAGCAAAGTGGTTAGCATAGTGCCTGGCACATAGCATTAGTCAATAAAGATTGACCTAAAAACTGGGGCCAGCAGGTGGTGTGGAGGTTAAAGCGCTGGATCCCACATGGCTGACCGTGTTTTGAGCCCTGGATTTGGTGGCTTGAATATTATGCCATGTGTGTATACAAGCATGCCCAAAATCTTGAGAGGAGATTGGAGGAAAGGGGATTGTGGTGTGGCCATACCCTCAGGGGGTAGGAGGTGTAGGGGGTGTATGTGATATCTCACTTTCCCTGTCTCTCTCTAACGAGTACATGTACCCTTTAGAAAAAAATAAAACAAACAAGCAAAAAATAAAAAGGAAAGAACAAAGTTGGTATATTATATTAACGAAATATTTGATTAAATATGAGGTATCTGCTAATACCTAGGAGAAAGCTGTTTTATTTTTACAAAGTTTCTGTTGGAATCATCACCTTCTGCTCCAGTCTCTCCAAAACATGACTTGTAGGCTGCAATTTGCCCCTCAGTTGTACTTAGAAGGTTCTTTAACCTCATACCAAGGTCCATGAACATTTCATTCATTCTGTCCATAGAAGTGTAGAAAGGTCAAGTCCAAGAGCAGTTGTCCACATTGTCTATAGTAAGTGTAGGCAGATCTTGATTTGCTCAAGTATTAGATAGGAGAAACCCACATAAAGCTTAACAAAGATATTGTAAAGAAAGAAAATGTGGTATCACATTTGAGTGAGCAAACATCAGAAAATGATTTACCTCAAGATCCTAAAGAAAATTTCAGAAAATTGCCATCATCTTTGTAATAAGAGAAGATCACAAAAAAGCCACAAGTTGTGGTGGAAATAGAAATTTAAAAAATGGAAGAAGACCATCACCCACCTCTTAGAATGGCCAAAATAATAGTTAGATGCAATGAGAACTATCAATATTGTGGGAAAATCATATAGTTGCTAGTAGGAAAATTATGAAGTGCAGTGGATTTGGAAAATATTTTGACAGTTTTTTTTTTTTTTTCAAAATTTAAATATACACTTCCCATGTAATTCAGTGATTCAAATCTTAGTATTTACTAACAGTAATTTACATGTTTTTACGTAAAATCTTATATTCAAGTGTGTGTAGTGGCTTCATTTATAATAAAAAAAAAATTAATATCAGACAAGAAGCCATTTTAAAGCTGAGGTGTGTCCTGGCATGTTCAGGGAAGCTATCCTCTAAACTCCATCTTCTAGACTCCTGAAATACTCAGACAAGGCACCGTGGAGGAGAGATTTTGTCACAGAATGACCAGAAACCACCGCAGAGGCACAGAAAATATGAGAAACCAAGAAAATGTCTTTCTCCTAAGGGAAAAGAATAACCCCTCATCATCCATAGACAGTACAGTAGAACTCATGGAAATGTCCTACAGATAATTCAGAATATTCATAGTGACAAAACGAAACAAGAACTGAGAGATGATGAACTCCAGAAGATGCAGGAGAAAAGAGATAACAAATTCCAGGAGGTGAGGAAGTTCTTGCATGATCTGAAAGAGGAAATACACTTTAAAAAGAATCAAATGGAGCTATTAGAGATAAAGACTTCAATTCAGGAACTCAAAACCTCCCTTGAAAGTATTAAAAGCAGATTAGTCTATGCAGAAGATGAAATCTCGGATGTTGAAGGCAAAACCACTGATCTAAAAACAACAACAACAACAACAACAACAAACCTGAGAAAATAACAACAACAACAAAAAGATTAAAATATGATGAAAAATACTAGACACCATAAGCACCCAAACATCCAGATAATCAGATCTCAGAATGTGAATAAACTAATAAGGGCATTGATGATCTATTCCATGAAATCTTGGAAGAAAATTTTCCAAATCTAGAGAGGCATTCAAATATCCAGACCCAGGATAGAATTGACCCAAGATCTTCTCCAAGGCACATGATAGCCAGATTGGCAAAATCCATAAAGACAA